GTTTCAAAAGCAGCCCCAAAAGTATGATTACTCACATTAAAATAGGCTTCACAATAATATTCTATTTCAAAATCAGCTTCTAAAAATTCTCTGCTATCTTGAAAATCAACTACAAATTGAGTTTCTTTTCCAAACGAGACTGAAGTTCAATTTTAAAAACAGCCCTAGGTGTTTCACATGTATTCCAAAAAGTAACTTCAAATTCGTATTCTGTTTCAAAACCAACTTGAAATATATACTCTGTTTAAATTTATTCATATATACTTTGTTTTAAAGAAATTCCAATTAAGAACACAATTTCTTCATTTAAAAGTGCAGTGCATTCCACTTTTCAAAGCAAGATTAACATGCAGTATCAATTCGTATGTGGAAAATTACTCTTTTAAAAATCTAATTCAAAAAATGCAGATTTGGTTATCTGAATTTGAAGTGCATAAAAACCAGAGATTGCAGCAAAGAAAAATTATACTCTCTAGGTAAACAATAAAGAGAGTGAGCACATGATTAAGGATAACTAAATTAGGTTTTTGAAGAAGAAAAAGCTGGGAAAACAATAAGAATTAGAGGAGGCTTGAGGGAACTACAAACTGAGTACTTGTAACCAAAATCGGAACGAAGTACTCATTTGTTTAGAAATTAAATTTGCTCTTAAAGGTGCTATAATTGTATTTCAGAAATTCAAGGGAGTATTATTATTCATTCAAACAGACACTAAGCACATGTTTTAAAAGAGTAAATTAAATAAGTCAAAAGACACAGGACATGGGTTCTTATATATGCTAAAACAGAGTTAATCTTTAAAAACTACAATTTTATTTTTAAGTGTGGAGAGATAGAACCATATTTCTTATTTTCCCAACAAGAAGCATAGATTTGATAATAAAATTTCTCTAACAATGAGGTAATCTTCTACACAATTAGTTTTCTAATATTAAATGCTAGTTCGTATTTTCAGGCGCGTGAATTGAGCACTGAATCTGGATAAGAAATCTTAGGCAAGGAAAAGGTTCTAAACATATTTAGGACATAAAAATCAGTCCCTTAATATGCATAAAAATTCTGGGTATGGCAAAATATCAGAAAATGTGAAATATCAACTGTACTATTCTGAAATAAAGTTTCTAAGCCTATTCTTAACAGACCTATCAGTCCAGCTTTAGTGTAATCAAAACATGTTGTCATGCTAAGCACCCACACACATAGTATAGTCCAGGCTAGCTTTAACAATAGAACCATTATATATTTTAACAGACTTCTAAATATCAAAGCAAGAACAAATACAAGATAACAGTATTAACTAATGAATTTTGATGTTCTTGTAGGCCTTCAGTTAAATGAATTATGAAATTCATAAGATTCAGTTTTTTGTTCTATTCTTCTTGTTGGGAAAATAAGAAAGAACATAACTTTACTCTTTTGTTGATAAAAAATTCATGTGCGCCTGAATTGATAAGAATTTGGGTACTAAATACCCAAATTCTGGTTGAAGATTTAAAAGAAGAGGAAGGAGACACAGAATTGGTAAGAATTACGAGGAGGGAGACACAGAAGAGACACGCAAAGGGAGAGGAAGAGGGAAGAAATATCTGGATAGTGGAAAAGATTTCTTGCAGGAACAAAAGTTAGATATTTCTCACTTAGCTTCAATGTTGATCGTGTAGCCCTTTTCCTATTTGCTATACGTAGGTAATCCAGGGAACGATGAACTTGGAGCCAATCCCGAAGGGCGATGAGGATGCTGAGATGTGCGTGGCAGTGTTCGATGACTTTGAACTATAATTTCTTATTTGAATAACTTATTACTATTTCGAGCATGATTCCCAAGTTGTGCTTTGAATTATGAATTAAACTTCTGCAATTATTTTGAGTATTACTCCGATGAATGTTAAACTATGTTTTGAAATGTTTACTTGAATTGTTTTGAAAAGTCAAGTAGTGTTCAGTGGCAACCCGATTCGCTGATCCGAGTATTCGGGTTATGCGGGTTGGAGTGTTACACAAGAGAGTAGCTCTTGGACTTTGCTGTTAGAAAAATAATTTTTTTTCATCATTTTTCTGAAAGATATTCAATAATATATTTTAAAAAAATAAAATTTAAAAAATAAAATTTAAAATTTAAAAACAAAATAAATGAAAGGAAAAAAAGTCAAAAGTAAAAATCATTTAAAAGCACCATCCATCCATCCATACATACATACATACATACATACATACATACATACATACATACATACATACATACATACATACATACGTACATACATACATACATACATGTTACAATTCTCGTACGAATTACAACGGACGGGGAAGATGAACGGCCCTGGAAAATAAAAATAAATAAAATTCTGAATTTATAATTTATTCAGAATATTACAAAATAAACAAAGCTGAAAATAAATTGCTATATCTTCAAACAGCCTTGCTGTACGAGGGCATTAAGGACTGGACAGCGAGGACGTTAAGCACTGGACATCGAGGTCTTTAAGCACTGGACAGCGAGGTCTTTAAGCACTGGACAGCTATTCAAGGACGTTATGGACAGAGCTGCGAGGACATTATGCACTGGGCTGCGAGGACATTATGCACTAGGACAGAATGCAGCGAGGTCTTTATGAACTGAACCTGCAAAACACAACACTGTGGAAGGACAGCGGAGTCGCAGGAGCTGTCTTTAAGGTAGTAGTGCCCGCCTTCCGTACCGGAAAAACGTGGGCACTCTCCTCCCAGGATAAAACCGCTATCGTGTGTGGAGATTGTACGGACCAACCACACACCAACGAACAAGAACAACGTAGGAACGTTGACGATCAAAAACTTTAAAGGGGTTGCCGGGAAAATTGGCTGGAAAATCAAGAGCTCTCTCTAAAGAAAATAATAAAGTGTTTTCTCTTTTCTTTCTCTCTTCCTCACGCAAGGCACACACAAAAAATGATTGAGGGAGCTTTTGATTTTATAACAAAGGAGTTTAAAAATTGTAACTCCTTCACCATTAACCCATGGAATTAATCATGGCATTTGTGGTGTGTTAATGGTGATTAATTAGCCATTAACACGTCCGTTACGCTACGCTCCGTTTAAAATTTGTCCCGAATAATTGGAGATTAATGGCCAGTTAACTCCGTAAAAATGGACTAATTTTAAACAATACGTAAAATTAATAAAAGAAGATTGGTTCAGTAAAATTGCAAAAATTGCAATCCTCACCATATTCTTTTATTAACGGGTTAACTCT